TTGAGATCCTGCTACGTTTTGTTTTTCTGAGTCCCCTGAGGCTTGAGTGGGTCTCTGTTCCTTGTAACTTGTGTCTCACAGAAGGCCCTCACATCTGTTAGAGCTGCACTATCCAACACCGTAGCTATTAGTCACTGTGGCTATTTAAACTGATTAAAATTTTAAAAATAAAAATTCAGTTCCTTAGTTGCACTAGCCTCATTTCAAGTGCTCAGTAGCCACAATGACTAGTGGCTGCTATATTAGATGGTACAGATATGCATTTCCATTGTTGTAGACATTTCTATAAGGGCCATGTGGTATGAGACTGAGTCAGGACCTCTGGGTTCAGATTTCAGCTTTCACCAGCTGTTACCTTGTGCTCCAGCAGCCTACAGAAAGGCAAGCCAAAGCTTGGCACACAGTAAGTGCCCGATAAATGGTATTCTAAGCATCATTCCATCTTTCTGGGTAAGGTTTAGCTCCAGTAGAGCCCTGTATTTGTTATCTATTGCTATGTGAAATTACCCCCAAACTTAGGGGTTTATAACAACAGAAATATTATCTCACATAGTTTCTGTGGGTCAGAATTCAGGAGCAGTTTAGCTGGGTGGTTCTGGCTCAGGGTCAGAACATTTTGATTGCAGACAAAATGTTGGCCAGGGCTGCGGTCTCATCTGAAAGCTCGACTGGGGCTGCTGGAGGATCCACTTCCAAGATGGCTCAATTACATTTCTGGCAATGTGATGCTGGCTGTTGACAGGAGGCCTCAGTTCCTCACCATGTGGACCCACACAGGGCTAACTATATTCGTGACACGGTGGCTGGCTTTGTGCAGAGTAAGTAATCCAAGAGAGCCAGGTGTGAACTATGATGTCTTTTATGACCTAGCCTTGGAAGTCGTCTACTGTCAGTTCCATGATACTGGCCACCTAGGTCAGCCCTATTCATTACGAGAGGAGACTACACGGGGGCAGGAACACCAGGAGGCAACACTCATTTGCAGCCCCATCACTGGTCAACCTTGGACTAGGGCTAATCTGTCTGGACAGCTAACTCCGACTGGCACGGTATTACTTCCGAGAATTGAGCAGGGGATGCAAAATGGATCTTGGACAACATTGGGCCATTTTCATTCATGAACCTGCTAATCTGAGGCAGCAGAAGCACTGACTTCTGCATGGGACAATGCATGGGGCATGGGAAGGCTGACAAACCAAGCAGATCTCCCCTGCCAATGACACGCTGTGTGGTTTCGGGGAGAAGGAAGAATTCCAAGATGGCCCCCAAGATTTCTGCCTCCTATTGTATATGACCTGTATAATTCCCTCCCCTTGAGTATTTGCAGGACCTGTAAATATAATGGGATACCATGAAGTTAATGATTAGGTTACATTAGCTAGCCAAGGTGAAGGTGCCCCTCTGTTGGCAGGCAGCCAGCTATGGCAGGTGTTTACCACTTTGCCCTCTGAAAGCATTATTGTACCACCCCTACCCTGCCTGCCTTTGTCCCTTGGGGTCTGGAAAAGAGCCAAGCCTAACTAGGAGGCCTTTTCTTAAATGAGTCTTCTCAGAGCTGGCCCTTGGGCAAAACCTTGCACGTAGATGTATTGGTTTCACTTCCCTTAAAGCCACTTTCTCTCTCCCTTGTCATCTTCACAAGTCCTTGTGCTCAGCCACCCACATCCTCTCCAGGGAGGAGGGTGTCTACAATCTTACCCATGCCGTGTGATTATAACTAGTTTCTCTTTGCACAAAACCTTACTTAACAGAAACAAGAAAGAGAAAGAAACCCCAAGGTCAGTTCTTAAACTGGGAGACGAACATGTTAATGGTGGAACCTCAGGCAGCATGAGAGCTGGTAAACTGGGAGGTTTTAGGACAGAGATTTTGGCCTTATTCTCTCTGCCTGCCCCATCCCACCCCGACTCTCTGCCCCCTGCAACACACACTCTGCTTACAACCAGCAGCGTGGTAGAATGAGGATTAACAGAACCTTAGAGCGCCAGACTTAGTGTCAGGAGTACAGGATTTGAACCAACGACAACCTTTGCCATCAACCTGCTGTGACCTTAGCCTCCACTCTCGGAGCCTCAGTTTCCCCATCTATAAAATGAGGAGAAATATGGTCTAGAGCAATGATTCTCCACCCTGGGTGCTCTCTGGAGTCACATAGGAGGGTCTCTGCAAACAACGCAGATGCCTGGGCTCCACCCTCAGAGGCTTTAATACAATTGATCTGTGGTGTGGCCCGGATGTCTAATTTTTTTTTTTTCTCTTCAGAGATGGGGGTGGAGGGATGGAAGTAGTGAGTGTTGGGGAGGAATGGGGAGGGGTTGGGGTGTCTCCCTTTTTTGCCCATGCTGGACTTGAACTCCTGGGCTTAAGCAATCCTCCCCTGCCTCAGCCTCCCAAGTAGCTTGCTTTATAGGTGTGCATAACTGTGACCCGAATATCTAATTTTTGATATCTCAGTAGATGATTTTAATGTGAAGAGGACTAAATATGTAAATAGGTTTTAGAGTGTTTGGAAATTCCATGGGAGTATATAGAATTGTTTGTCTAAACCTCCAAAGGATCCTGAGAGCATAAGAAAGTTAAGATTATCTTTAAGGAACCTAATAGTTTTTAAATACACATAAATAAATGAAAACTCAATGCTTGGGAGGGGAACAGTGCCACCTGCTGGTTTCACTTTGCATTAGCAATATCCAAATATCTGCCGGTGCAACGTAATGCATTTGCTATTTATTGAAAACCAACTCAACGTGCAAGGCTTGGTGATGAGCCTTCCAGGACGCACAATGATAAGAGCTCCTTTCCACATGAAACTCACAGTCTAGAGGGGACAACAGGCATGTACGTAAAGCCCTTTGATCCAAGGTGGAGACAGACAGGGTCCCAGCGAGGTTCTGCGGGAATATAAGAAGGAAGCCTGGGGCTAGAGCCGACTTTACCAGTGTGCGACCTGTGTTTAGAAGGGCCCTGTACTTGGTTCCATCATCTCCTATCGCTGTCTTGAAATTCTTAATAAATTTTGAACAAAGGGCCATGCGTTTTCATTTTGCACAGGGCTCTACAAATTCTGTAGCTGGGTCCTACTTGGGGTGGTTGAGGAAATTTTGGAGGAGATGACATCTGACCTGGCAGGGCAGTAGTGGAGGGAGAAGAGAAGAAGCAGCATGTTCTAGCATGGAAGGAAAGGTGGGGTCCCTTGGCCTTGGTGACCAGATGGTTTTGGGGAAGGAGGCAGAAGATCAGGTGCTGCCAAGGGAGGTTGGGAGAGAGGCAAGGGAGTTTGATGTCAGATGGATTCAGGCTCAAGTGTAAGGAGGACCTCCAAGGACAGGTCCAGCAAATGGAAGATGGGCCAGGGCTAAAGCTTTGGGATCACAGACTTCCAGGTGGGTGTCTTGGTGGGACCAAGGGTTATAGGATCCCCTGTGAGGGGTGAAGAAGAAGACAGAGCTCCATGGCTGGGTCTGGGCTTTGGCCTCCGGGAATCCTACCTTGGGTGGTGGAGAAAGCCCTGCAGGGCAGGGCTGGGTGGCTCTGGAGCCCCAATTCCCCATGCCGAGCTATGAACCTCCTCTTAGCCTCCTATGAGTGGCTTCCTGCTTCAACCCCACTGATGCACAGTGAGCTGAATCTCTCCTGAGGCAGCCACTCATTTTGGGGACATTTCCCATTCAACTTGTTTTCTGCATTCCTCAGTGAGGAGTCACCTTCAGGGGACCACACCAGGCTTTAAATTGGCTTCTCCATTGCTTCTCGCAGTGGGTTTCAGCCTGCTGCTGGCAGGTGACGGAACTTAGTCAAGACTTTGGGGAGTCTACAGAGCAAACCATACTTCCTTCCCTCTGGGAAACGTCAGCATTTTTCTCATGGGACTTTCCATGTTCTGGGGGAGACATTTTACAGGAAACGAGCTCTTTGTCAGGAAGTCAAAGAAGGGCCCCAGGGGGTTAGAACCCGGAACCCACATGTCAGACCAGTCCTCCCATGGAGCACCACCAGAGGCTGGCACAGGTAGCTGGCATCTGTGATGTCAGTGTCGTTAGTTCTTATAGCTCAAGGCAGGATTCTGCCTGGGCTTTTTGTTTGTTTGTTTTAGTTTTGGGGGGCTTTTTTTGCTTCCTTGTAAAGCACAGACTAGGCAGAGGGTGGGTGGGCTGATAGGGATGGAGTGTCATTCTGTCCATGGGCCCCATGAGAAGCCGCCTCTTGGCTGTGCTGTTGTCCAGTCGATCCCAGGAGTTCTGCCCGGGTTGTCCTGGGAAAGTTTTGTTCTGAAGAGTTCACCTCTGGGCCTGGGATGCATCCTCGCTTGGGATGGGGAGATAGCTGGTAGGGCAACTCATCCCCAGAGCTGACAGGTGTCCCCCTGGGCAGGGACAGAAACTCAGGGATGCCACCTGCCTCTGAACCCAATCCTCCTCCAGAAAGGGTCAAAAAGGCTCTCTCTTCCATCAGATTTGTGGTCCTTTTTTCTCTGCAGGTTTCTCTCTCTGTCTCTGTCTCTGTATATGTGAGGGTGGAGGGAAGTACACGGGGGCACCTCCCTCCCTGGGGAGGTGGGTCATTCAGATCAGACTCTACCTTGGATAGGGTTGGTTTTAGCACAGCAGAGGAATCCCTGAGCCTCGGGACTACATCTTACTGGGCCTGTGGGAGAAGCAACTGGGGAACACTTAAGATGGCAAGACCTAGGCTAGGTGCAGTGGCTCACACCTATAATCCTAGCACTCTGGGAGGCTGTGGTGGGAGGAGGATTGCTTGAGCTCAGGAGTTCAAGACCAGCCTGAGCAAGAGCGAGACTCAGCCTCTACTAATAGAAAAATTAGCCAGGCATAGTGGTACATGTCTGTAGTCCCAGTTACTGGGGAGGCTGAGAGGTAGGGGGTTCACTTGAGCCTAGGAGTTCAATGGTTTGAGGTTGCAGTGACCTATGATGACACCACTGCACTCTAGCCTGGGCTACAGAGCAAGACTCTGTCTCAAAAAAAAAAAAAAAATAGCAAGACCTGGCCACTGTCTAGGCACGTGCCCAGCCACCAAAGCTGTGGGCCAGAAAGCAAACACAGGCAAGGGTCTGTGCCTGGTTCCAGCCATAGGGAGTACAAGGAGGAGCAGGTCTTTGTGCTCCAGGGCCAGATCCAGCGTTCTAGGTGAGACCCGATGCTCCAGGAGAGACCTAGTACGACAGGTGGGACCTAGTGCTCCAGGTCAGATTTGGTGCTCCAGGGCATACTGGCCGTGCTCCAGGAGGCGGTGTCCCATGCCTGCATGTGTGAAACTATGTCGTCCCTGCCAGAGAGGACACAGATGTCTGGCGGGTAAATGCCTCAGGCTTGGCTCTAGGAGTGCATAAAACTGTGAGTGCATGACACACAGGGAGAGCCGGAGGGAGGCAGATGGAGGGATAGGGCACACAAACACATCTAGAGAGGAGGTTACTGGGGAGGGATTGAGACTGATTGATTTAGAGACAGTGAGAAGAGAGTAAGGCAGGGAGAGCCACAGGCACTGGACACAGAGACGGCCTCACTCAGGTTGTGTCTTCCTGAATGTCTAAGGACGAGCGAGTGACCCACGTAAGGCCCGCGAGGCGGGGTTTCCATGGCGAGACGAGCCTTCTGCTGCCCTCCCGCAGCAAAGGGACACGGAAGCAGGGCTGAAGGCCTGGACAAACGGCCGCGCTAAGTCTGGATGAAGAGGTGGAAGTTGGTGCGCGTGAACTCCTGGTGGATGGTCTCCAGCAGCGCGTCGGCGTCGGCAGCGGGCTCGGGGGCGCCCGCGGGGCCCGGCCGCGCGCTGTACTCGGGCGTGTAGGTGAAGGAGAAGGCACTGGGGTAGAAGAGCCGGTCGGCGCGCACCAGGCTCACGGGCACGGTGATGGGCGTGCGCAGCCAGCGCCAGTCGCTGCCGAAGGCCGCGACGTCGGGCACCACACACACCAGGGACCGCGGGCTCCTGGGGGTGGGTGGAGCACCAGGGTTGGGGCTGCGGTGACTCTGATGCCAGGTACTCCTCCCCGCTCCCCCGGGTCCAAGGGAGGCTGTCTCCCCATCGCACACCTGTACATGGTCTCTGCCTCCACGTCGCCGAACCACACCTTGAGCCCCGCGTGGAAGTTCTCTCCGTGGAGCTCCAGCGTGGCCACGTCGCCCCCGCCGCTCAGCTGGGGGAGGGGGAGCCAGTTGGGGTGGGGGGCTGGGCCCGGAACCCGCGCCCTCCCTCGCTAGCGTCCCCGCCTGCCTGCGCGGGCCGTGTCCACGCGTCCCAGCGCCCCCCGCGCCCGGTTTCACCTCTAGGGTGCTGATGAGGGGCACCGGGGTGACCGGCTCCCGCGTGCACGCCAGGCTGCTGCTGAAGGAGAACTCCACCGACTCCGTGCCGATGATGGTCCAGCAAGAGCTGTCGTTGAGCAGCGCTCGGTTCGCCTCCTTGGGGCAGGGAGAGGCCTGGGGAGACCGGAGGGCGGAGGCAGAAGCTTCCAAGGAGGCCGCCAGCGTCCGCGTTAGGCACCACGGGGCACCCAACAGAGGTACCAGTCCCAGGCTCTGCGGCTTACCTTCCCGTGAGCTTGGACAAGACCTTAAATTCTCTCACTTAGAGTAAAATAAGCTCGTCGGACTGATTTCTTTTCTTTTTTTTTTTTCTTTTTTTAGAAACAGAGTCTAGCTCTGTCACCAGGGCAAGAGTGCAGTGGCGTCAGCCCAGCTCACAACAACCTCCAACTCCTGGGCTCAAGGGATCTTCCTGCCTCAGCCTCCCGAGTAGCTGGGACTACAGTTGCGCACCATCATGCCAGGCTAATTTTTTTTTTTTTTTTTTTTTTTTTTGAGACAGAGTCTCGCTTTGTTGCTCAGGCTAGAGTGAGTCCCATGGCGTCAGCCTAGCTCACAGCAACCTCAAACTCCTGGGCTCGAGTGATCCTTCTGCCTCAGCCTCCCGGGTAGCTGGGACTACAGGCATGCGCCACCATGCCCGGCTAATTTTTTATATATATATCAGTTGGCCAATTAATTTCTTTCTATTTATAGTAGAGACGGGGTCTCGCTCTTGCTCAGGCTGGTTTCGAACTCCTGACCTTGAGCAATCCGCCCGCCTCGGCCTCCCAAGAGCTAGGATTACAGGCGTGAGCCACAGCGCCCGGCCCATGCCCGGCTAATTTAATTTAATTTTTTTTTTTTTTTGTAGAGACATGGGTCTGGCTATATTTCCCAGGCTGGTCTCCAATTCCTGGCCTCAAGATATCCTACCGCCTAGACCTTACAAAGTGCTGTGATTACACACCAAGCCTAGAATTCTATTTTTTAACCTCGTGCAGTTCTATGCCTCAACATTCTACAATTTTAATATTCTTTGGGAAAGAATATTGCTCAATAATAATTGTTATTTTCTACATATTATGATTGTATCTCCTAACATTCTATGATAATATTCTTTTGGTAGTAATATTGCTTAACAGTATTTTCCACATTCTACAATATTCCATATTGTATGTCTTAACATTCTATGATTCTAATAGTCTTTACTCAATACTATTACCTATTATGACTTTTATTTACATCCTGCAATTTTATATCCCAACATTCTATGATTTTAAACTTCTTTGGGAAGAAGTATTGCTCAGTAATATTAATTATTAGTATTTTTCTGCATGCTATCATTCTGTCTATGATTTTAATATTCCATGGTGAGCAGTACTGCTCAGTAAGTAGCAACCACGATGGTGACGATCTCACATTCTGCGGTTCTCTGCATTCTCACTTTCTTGGATGCTTGGTTCTGGCATTCTTTGCTTCTCACCTGGAATTGCACCACCTTCTCCGTGGCAAGGCATAAGTAGGTGCCACCCTCTCCTGGAGGACCATCTGGGAACTGGAATGCACACTTGTGCAGCTGGGAGATGGGCTCATCCACGTCGAGGAGTGCACATTGTTTGGCTACCTTGCGGATGATCTGCAATGGAAGGGTGGTAAGAAGGTGCCTGGGTGACAGAGGCTGTCCTCTCAGCCAGTTCTCTGCTACCCTGATAGCCACGTGGGCACTAGGAGAGTCCCCCTGCCCCTTGACTTCTGCCCAGTCCTGCAAAGTATCCCCAGAGCGAGGATAGGTATCTTCATGCCTGGGTCCTCACTCTCCAGCTCTGCCCATGTGGGCCATACCCTCTATGTGGATCTAGGGGGACCCCTCCAGGGACGCCCTCCCTTCTCATACCATAGGAGGCAGCGTGATGCCGGTTACGGTACAGACAAGCTGCACCAGGGAGCCATAGCGCACGTAGCCCTCCCGAGGCGGGAAGTCCCCTTGGGAACGGTGCTCATCAGCTAAGGGTCAAAAAGGGAAAGAACAAGGGTTTCGAGGGGCTCAAGTTTCTGTCCCAAACCCTGCCTTCTGGCTCCACCCCACATCCCACATGGGCACCGGCAGCGGAAGCTTTGGCACCCAGGGCAGCAGCTGAAGCTGAAGTTTCTAATCTTGGCGAGGTCATTTGCCTCCATCCTCACAAACGTCTGCCCTAGGGCCAGGGGTGGGGGGCACGGGTGGGGGGCAGGCAGCTTAGCTGGTATGAGGGGAAAGGGCGTGGACAATGGAATCAGAATAGCTTGGATCCAGTGCTGACTCCCTGGGACTCTGGGCAAGTCTACTGTGTTTCTGAGCCTCAGTTTCATAGGGCAAAGCTTCCCTTCCTTGAGGAGTTGTGGTGAAGATTAAATGACCTTGTGCATGGAGTGCCCTGCCCCGGCCCGCAGATGTGATTACCCAGGTGCAGCGTGAAGGCTGCCCACTGTCTCGCGCTGGCCACAAAGGCCCCATCCTCCACAGAGAGGTAGCGTGTGGAGACCGTCTGGGAGCGCAGGCGGTTGAAGAGGGAGACCTTTGAGCCCGAGGATATGCACACTGTGGGGGGAGGTGGAGTCAGTCCCCTGGCCTGGCATGGTCCTTGGACTTGCCAGACAATTTCCAATCCTGTGTCCCCTGTGCCAGCCTGGCTAACACGCCCACCGGCCTAGCCATACTGGGTTTTCATATTTCACAGATATTTATCTAGTACCTGCTGCAGTCCTGCTTCCTTACCTTTGTCGGCTCCTTTTTGCTGCCTGGGCATCCTTCAGTTCAACAAACAGAAATTTTAAAACACTTTTATACATTAAAAATATTTTTTATTTAAAAAACAACTTTTTTTTTTTTTAAAGAGACAGGGGTCTCTCTATGTTGCCCAGGCTGGCCTCAAACTCCTGGCCAGCCTGGGCAACAACTCCTGAGCGATCCTCCTGCCTCAGCCTCCCAAGTAGCTCGGACTATAGGCATGTGCTGACATGCCTGCCAGAATTTTATCACCGTGTGCCTTCTTTGTGGCGAGCACTGTGCAGGGTGCTGGGCTCCAAAGGGTGAATTAAACTCAGATTTTCTCTGGAACAGTTCACAGTCTCGGAGGGAAGACAGGGACACAAATATAAAATTTCAGTATGAAGTGGTAAGGGCTGAATTAAGGAGGCCTTCTTGGAGGAGGTTATATCCCAGCTGGGGAGCAGGCATGAGGCAGGAGTTACACAGGGGGTGCATAAGCCAAGATTGCAGTTCTGTGTTCCTAGAGCCTGACATTGATCTTTTCCAGCCTATTGCACATGATCAGAGCCATGGTTGCATTTTCTCACTTGACTTTGGCCACTGGGGAGAAAGCACGGGGTGGGTCACCTTCCACTCTCCTCCCACAGTGCTAGGCTTACTGTAGGTGCTCAACTTACACCTAGTCCAAGTTCCTGTCCCTTGAGTAATACTTAGAATTTATTGTGCGCCAGGCGCTTTCTAAATGTTTTGCATGCATGGGCTCTTCCGAGTCTCTCAACAACCCTCTGAGGCAGATGATATTATCTCCACTTAGGAGAGCAACTTGCACCAGATCATGCAGCTAGCAAATGACGGAGCCAGGATGCAAACCCAGGCCACTGGGCTCCAGAATCTGGGCTCCTAACCATCGCACTATACCACTCACCCCTCTCTGCCCCTTTCCTAATACTGAGGCCCAGCCAGAACACTGCCTGGATCTGAGACATTCTACAACGGTCTGTAACAGACAGACAGTAAGTGTGGTGGAGGGGTAGGGGCTGGGTTCTGCAGTCACATTGACTCATGTTTTCATCCTGGCTTGGCCACTTCTGAGTTGGGCAATCTTAGGCAAGTAACCTGGAAGGTGGTAGGCCTAAATATTTCTTAAATGAATGGATGAATGTTCCAAACCTCATTTTCCTTGTGTAAGTGAGAGGAACAGTGATAGTACCTACATCACAGGGACACAAGGACAAGCATCAGCTAGGACAATGCAACTAAATGTCTGCCAGGAAAGCTGCCCTATCCAACCCACTCACCTCTCAGTGATTCGGTGATGGTCGTCTGGTGTTGCCATTGTTTTGTTTTGTTTTGTTTTGTTTTGTTTTGTTTTGAGACAAAGTCTCACTCTGTTGCCCAAGCTAGAGTGCTGTGGCATCAGCCTAGCTCACAGCAACCTCAAACTCCTGGGCTCAAGGGATCCTCCTGCCTCAGCCTCCCGAGTAGCTGGGACTACAGGCATGCGCCACCATGCCCGGCTAATTTTTTCTATGTATTTTTAGTTGGCCAATTAATTTCTTTCTATTTATAGTAGAGATGGGTCTCCTTCTTGCTCAGGCTGGTTTCAAACTCCTGACCTCGAGCAATCTGCCCACCTCGGCCTCCCAGAGTGCTATGATTACAGGTATAAACCACCTTGCCTGGCCTCTTGCCATTGTTAATTAGGCTTTTTCTCCCCTCCATATTCTTAGAGCCCCCAGCCCTGGGATTTGCCACTTGGCGTCCAGGACTGTGCTAATCTCACATTTTTTATTTGATCCGCTCTGTGTGTCCCCTGCTAGGTTGCACTTTCCACTAGAACAGACACCTGCCTTTATTTTACAGGGATCCAGCACCCAGCACAGAGCCAGGCATACGTACATACTTTTAACTGAATTTCCTCTGCCCCAGTATGGCCACTTTTAATCTGTCCCTAGTTCAGCACCTGTGGGCCATTTGTCTGCTCTGGGCCCCAACGCCCGCCCTGGAGTCTAGTGTCATCCCCTTTCCCCTTTGTTTTTGATCCTTCCCTCTTCTCATCGCCAGGCCTAAGCCGCACCCACTCACCCACACGCCTCCCCTCTCCCGGCTCAGACTGCACCTTTTTCACTCTGACCCCACCCCTATAATCCAGCGCCCCTCACCCCCACCCGTCCCAATTTAGCGGCTCTTAACTTGGTTGCCCCTCCCGACCCTGCCCTGCGCTCAGCCCCGCCCCGCTCACGGTCCGTGTTTTTCAGCGACTGCTTCTTCTGCGAGGGCTTGGAGATGACCTTGATGAGGCGGCTGTGGAAGGTGCCGAGCTCCCGGCCCCCGCTCAGCACCAGCCGCAGCACCAGCCGAAAGTGCTTCCTCTTGTCTGCGTCCGAGATGTACAGCGTCTTGGCGCAACCGAATTCCTGCGGGGCTCGCGGGGACGGGGCCGTCTCATTCCAGCCCTCCGCCGCCCGATGAACCAACCTCCCGCAGGTATCCGACGTCCGCCCCGTCGGAGGTGACGAGAAGCCCCTCGACCCAGGCTTTCGGGCTCAGCCTCAAGGCAGCACCCCGGCCTCCCAGCCTCCCTCCCCACGTCTTGGCTTCCGCAGGGAGTGAAGAAGCCCTCCTTTCCCAGGGAGCGGCAGGGAGGGGAGCAGGAATCAAACCCCTTCTCTTGCGCGCTCACCCTGGAGTCCGGCTGCTCCTCGAAATTCAGCTTCTGCGTTTCCGCGGCGCTGCCGGCCGCGCCGTCCAGTCCCATGTAACCGCAGACGGTGGGCCCAGGCTCCCCGGCCTGGGGAACTGGAAAGGGACGCGGGTTAGCCCTGGCGGGACTCGGGAAGCACTCAGGTGCCAGGCAAGCTTAGTTCTGCCCGCCAGAGGGCGCGGCGAGACTGCAACCGCGAACCGCGCCGCGCCCAGGCCCGGCTGCGTGGTCCTCCCGCCAGAGTAGACGGGCAGCCCTGGAGTCCGCCCTCACCTTGGCCCTGCACTGGCTTCACCCTCCAGCCGGGACCGGACAGGTAGACGCAGGGTGGAGGGCAGAAGAACCTGCGGAGATAAGGGAGTGTTGGATTCCTGTATCTGTCTCCACCCGGCTGGCCTGTAAGCATCGCAAGGTAGCATGAACCCAACAGAACCCTGGGCTCCGCACGCCCCCACACCCCGCAGGCCTCCCCATGGCTGTGAACCCCCTTAACACCCATTAGCCTTCTTCTTTCACACCCCTCATTCAAATCATCGACAAGCCCTGCCCTCTCCACCTTCAAAACCCAGAATCCCCTGGGTTCCTACTACCTCGGTCTTCCTCCCTCTGGCGTTACTTTTTGCCACTGAGTCACTTTCCAAATTGCCTCTGTTGCCACTGCTCCCCCCTTCAACTTGTTTCTCACACAAAGTGCTTTTTTGAAAACATGAGTCAAATCATGTTGCTCCTCTTCTTAAAGTCCTCCACTGCTTTGAAATTTAAAGTCCTCCCATGCTCCGGCCCCGCTTACCTTTCAACTATTTCCTACAACTCCTCCCTCTGTCTCTGATTCCAACCACTCGGACTAGTTTTGAACCTCAAACGGGCCTCGTTGGTACAGCCTCAAGTTCTTTGCATTTTCTGTTCCTTCTAACTGTAACATGCTTTCCCCAGATTTCCTGGTGTCTGGCTCCATGTTAGCATTCAAGTCGCAGTTCCGATGTCACCTCCTAAAAGGCCCTTACCTAAGGTAGCCCCACCTTTAGTTTCTATCACAGTGCCCTGTTCTGTTCTCCTAACGCTCATTATCATCTGGAAGTTATCTTGTGTACGGGTTTATAAGGAGTTTACTGTCTGTCTCTTCCACACCAGAGTGAAAATGCCACGAGAGCAGGGGTTGTATTTGTCTCGTTCAGCTGTATGTCCAGTGCCCAGCAGAGCCACAGAGCCTGGCACATGGTAAGCACTCAGTAAGTAGTTGTTGAATGAATGAATGAATAAGTGGGCGAGTGAGTGAACGGATGAGGTCAGGAGATTCACAGGGAGGCTCTGCTATGGAGCAAAGTGGGAGCTAAGGCCCCTGGTGAGCCAAAAGCTAGGGTCTCTGCCCTGAGGCCTCCCCTGGCTCTAAAAGAGGCCACATGGGTGGAAGGTGCATAGGGCTGAAGGCTGCAGGGACTGGGAGGTCCCCTGAGACACCTACCGCTTCTCGTTTCCGTATGACTTCTGGGCCACCTTGGCGTGCAGGATCCGCACTGTCTGCTCACACCGCTGCTGCAGGCACCCTCGCACCCCTTCCCTCAGGATGGTGGCATGCTCTGGGGATGACCTGGGAGTGGGGGGAGGGCAGGGCAACCAGCCGGCACCAGGGAGAGTCAAGGGGCAAGGCGGCACAGGGCCCAAGCACTCAGGTTGAGGGAAATGAAGTGGGGGTGGGGCGGCTCTACATTCCACAGGGTCAGGGAGAGGGAGGTAAGGAGGGGGCTCGGGTGCAAGTCGTGAAGTCGTGGGCTAAATATTTGGTCGGCAAGGTGCTCAATGGGGCCTCCATGGAGCCCATCGGGACCACCCAGGTGCCACTCTGATGGTCTGGCCGGAAGCCCATTGCAGCCCAGGGCCTTAGGGACACGTGGCTGTGGTACAAAGGCCCTCTCTTACGCTGGCTCTGGGATGGAGAGAGGTGGGCAGGGCCCTCGGAGTTGGCAGAGGTTAAGCTTCCCCACCCCAGGGGAAGAATGCCTGAGGGGCACAGCCTTTGCTGGTCTTGCAGCCCAGTCTGCTGGGTCGCCTCCTGCCGGCAGACGCCTTCGAACACTGAAGGGCCCCCAAACGCGTTTCCAGGACGGGGGTAGGGTGTGGGGGTCGGGGGAATCCGAGTCTTTCTGGGGCCAAAGCAGTACTCGTCTCCTCCCGTGAGACGCGGCCTGTTGCGGCGTCGCTCTCCTTCCCTCGATTACAGGGAACCGAGGCCGGCCGCATTGGTCCTGCGGAGCGAGCCAGGCAGAGCCCGGCGCTTCTCGGCCGGGGTTTGAGGGGGTGAGGGCGCGGAGGGGGGGGGCGAGGCCCAGGCAATTGCGGGGAGGTGTAAAGGAGTCTGCGATGGCAGAGACTCGGGGGACAGCAGGTTGGGGCCGGAGGAGAGCCATGGACACGGAGGCTGTCCTTCTGAGGCCTTTACCCTCCTGGCAGGACGGAGTCCGCGGCCTCTCCTCACTCCTGGAGGGGCGGCGGAGGGCAAGAGTAGGGCCGCGCCCTCGGAAGCGGGGCCAGGCAGTCGGCGGCCAGAGCCAGGGCCGCTCCGCCCCTTGGGGCTCCTCGGGGAAGTGCCTGGTAGGCTTCCTACGCGTTCCGGCTGCGGAGTGTCGCCGCCCCAGCCTCCCGCGGCAGCCCGATTCCGGCCCGCAGCTAGCGCCTGCGGCTCCTAGGTGGCCGCACGGGGGGCGCCGGGCTCGCCCCGCCCCGGCCCTCAGAGAGAGGAAGGGGGGTCGCTCCCTGCCAGTGGGAGGGGTCGCAGCCCGCACTCCCCCGCCTCACCCGCCAGCCCGGGTTAAATGCGGCCGCCGCCTCCGCGCGCTCCAGCTGCCTGGCAGTCCCCACCTAGGGCACGCTGCCCACGCCGTTACCTGGTCCAACTGCCCGGGAGGCTCCGCCCGTCGGCTCCGCTCTGCAGCCGCGCCTCTGAGCTGTCCGGCAGGCTCAGGTGAGTCAAAAAGTCCGGGGGCGCTGAGGGGTCTGCAGGGGGCAGGCGTCCAGCCAGACCAGGCGACCGTCTGCAGCAGCGACGCACCGCCTACCATGCCCCCATCTGACCTGCGGTGCCTTTCCCTGCTTCCGTCGGGTCCTTTCCAAATTGAGCTCCCACCAACAAGGCGGCCCAAATGGGGTCACCCCTGCCCTAATCTTCGTCCCTCCAGGAACCCCCAGGAATGTCCTCAAGGTGTTAATTTCTTGGCCAACTCTTGAGGAATTATTTGCAGACCTCCCCTCTCGCGCCAGTCCACTCCCCCTCCCTCCCCAGGGCATCTCTGAGCCTTTCTCCCTGACTCAAGGATTAACCCCTCAGAGGAGTCCCAGGTTCTGTCCACTCTGCCAGATGTCGCTGTGTGACTCGTGACATTACGCTCTCTGGACCACGGTCCTTTCTCTATAGAACGAGGGGGTTGGAAAGGCGATGGACGTTGAGGCAGTGGCTATTTTGACTTTCTCGGATTCCTGGGGCGGAGGTGGGGAACCAGGTGAGATGTCGGCTCAGACCAAGAGCAGGATGAGCGGGACCTTAATCAAGATTTTGAGGCCCAGAGGCTTCTCACGTGGGAAAGGATGGGGAGTGGCAAAGGCCCCTTGTCACTTCACCCTCACGCTGCCCAGGGATGCTGGCCTCCGCTTCGGCCGAGCTCCAGAAGGCATTCCCCACCCTCCCACCTCCCCGGCCGCTGGCACATCTAGCTCAGTCACCCTCCCACGACGGGCCCTGCCAGAGGGATTTCTGTTCTTCTACCAGGCCTGGAAGGCGAAGGGGGAAAAGAATCCGGGACCGGAAGGAAGCCGCCTGGAGTGAGCCACAGCCACCCGACCTTGCTCAGAATAGGCCCATTCACGGAATTGGGGGGGGGGCAGGGGCGGGGCTGCGGTTGGGTTAGGGGCGGCTGGCCTTCTCTGCCAAGAAATAGCAACAGAAAGATGGCTAACACAGCTTCAGCATGGGGCCCGGGGGTGGGGTGGGGTAGGGAATGGAAGGAAAAGAAGTTTAGTGACTCCTGGGCGCCAGGGGGCAGGGTGGGCTTAGCAGCGAGAAGGGGACCCAGGAGTCCCAGGTTCTAATCCTGCTTTTGCAGCTCCGTAGGCTGCTTTCTTGGGCCTCTGTTTTCCTATCTGTACAATGGGGTCCTTCGTAATTCTCAAGGGGTGTCGCCGGGGAGGTGAGGGCTCACCTGCTGCCTGCACAGGATCCATGGCCGCTCTCCGAGGGCGCCCTCCGGGCGCGTGCAGCGACGCCGTCCCCGGAACCTGCGCACCCCAGCACCCCGACCCTTGCGCGGGATATATCCTGTCCAGGTCTTATCTCCAAGGCCCCGGGGCTCCCGGCCCCCTGTTTGCTCTAGGCCGGGGCACCTGCTGGGCAGATGTGGGCTTCCCACGGCCACCTAGCCGTCGCAGCCAGATCCGGGCAGGCGCCCTCTGGCGGCCTTTCCTGAGAGCGCGGGGAATGAAGGCTCCAAGCCGGGAATTCTTGCGCGTGGTGGGCTTGGGCCCGCTCTCTGCCCGCCCCACCCCACTCAGCCCCGCGGACGCGCACGGCCCTTCCCCGCCGCCTGCGCTTGCGCGGTGCATGTCTGTTCGTGTGTGTGGAGGGATTAGGGAAGCGGGGTCGCAACGACAGCACACAGCTCCTCCGTGCGGAGGGGAGGGGCCCTAGGTGGCAAATGACTCCTGTCTGCAGAGGTTGGCCTGGCGGGAGAAGAGGGCACCGAACATCCCCTGCTGGCCCCCAGAACCGAATAGGCGAATAGGCGCAGAATTCTTCCCTGGCGCGGCCACTTCCTTGCCGCATGACTTTGGGTACCAGCGCTTAACTTCTTTCTCTAAGCCTCGGTTTCCTTATCTGTACAATGGGGAAAGTAACAGCCTTGGTCTCAGAACTGTAGGGGGGATTAAATGCCACAATGCATGAAAAACATTTTACACTGTGCCTCATGTTTAGGAAAGGCTTTTTTTCTGTTTAAATTTTGTATATTTTTACCTACTTTTTATTTATTTGCTCTTATCTGCAGTTCTAGAAAGAATCACTCATGTTTCCCAGCGATTCCACTCTGATGAAATTTCTCTCTCTCTTTTTTTTCTCTTTTCTTTTCTTTTCTTCTTTTTCTTTTGAGCCAGTCTTGCTCTGTTGCCTGGGCTAGAGTGCAGTAGCATCATCATAGCTCACTGCAACCTCAAACTCCTGGGCTCAAGTGATCCTCCTGCCTCAGGCTCCTGAGTAGCTGGGACTACTGACCTGGGACTACTGGATCCACATGGTGGTCCATGCCCAGGTCATTTTTCTTTCTTTTTCTTCTTTTCTTGAACTACTGAGCTCAAGTGATCCTCCCATCTCTGCCTCCCAGAGTGCTAGGACTATAGGCATGAGCCACTGCGCCCAGCTGTAAATTTTAAAATTAAGAAACATTTCAAACATACACAAAAATGGATTAGCAAAATAAACCCATGACCCCCGTCTCTCTTCAAGTGACCATCACTCAGAATAAGAGCTCTGTAAATACTATTGCTTTACGATTTTCCTCCCTCTCTCCAGGCTCTGACACTGCCTATTCTCTGTCCCCAGAGAACCATGAGGGGCCTTCTTTGCTGGCCACTGCTAGCATGGCTGCTGCTTCTTCAGCCCTGGGAAACCCAGCTCCGGGTGGCAGGTGAGCTGGGACCCAACCCCCACCAGTGGGAGGAGGGGAGCAGAAGCTGGTTCTCCATCTGCAGCCACCGGGGCCTGCTGTAGTGAGGAAAGCAAGGACCTTGGAACATACCGGGATGGGATCAAGTTCTCCACTTCACGTCTGTGGGCCTCAGTTTCTTCATCATAGTTTTGGGCTTCATGCAAAACTGCCCATTTGGTGTTTAATTTTGAAAAATTAATTGAAAACATAGAAAACCCAGGAGATTTTACATAATAATCCTTGTTTGAGACTTCTCTTGAAAAATCCAAGAATCTGCTAATGACCAGTGTGCATGTCCACATGGCAGCATTTGGTTGGAGCTGCCCACCTTAGGAGGGATACAGGCTCTTTGGGTGTCCACCAACCTAACCCACCCAGGTCACTCATTTACGTTGCCTCTACAGGCATTTGAGTTGCAATATCTCCTCCTCAGTGGATAATACCTCCTCGGAATAGGTCTCAGAGCTGTAGGCTGGAAAATTTGTGATATCTGCCAGCTTGGGTTCTAAATAAATGCTGGATGAATGAATGCATGTAACTTGCGTTTGCTGGGTTAGTTGCGTGCTGGGTGCTATTATACTGAGATAACAGCATTTCCCCTGGGTTTTCCCCCGGGAGTCTCCTCCCAGACTTGGTGAGGCTTCGCTGACCCAGGAAAGTCCTTTCTGATCTGACCCGCAGGTCCCAGGTGCCACACTGGGCCCCTGGATTTGGTGTTCGTCATCGACAGCTCCCGCAGCGTACGCCCCTTCGAGTTCGAGACCGTGAGGCAGTTCTTGGTGGGCCTCCTCCATGGCCTGAACGTGGGGCCCAATGCCACGCGTGTCGGCGTGATCCAGTACTCGAGTCAAGTGCAAAGCGTCTTCCCGCTGGGCGCCTTTTCGCGCCCCGAGGACATGGAGCGCGCCATTGGCGCCCTGGTGCCGCTGGCTCAGGGCACCATGACCGGGCTGGCAATCCAGTACGCCATGAACGTGGCCTTCAGCGTGGCCGAGGGCGCGCGCCCGCCAGAGGAGCGCGTGCCTCGCGTCGCCGTCATCGTGACAGACGGGCGGCCCCAGGACCGCGTGGCCGAGGTGGCGGCGCAGGCCCGCGCCCGCGGCATTGAAATTTACGCGGTGGGGGTGCAGCGCGCAGACGTGGGCTCCCTGCGCGCCATGGCGTCGCACCCGCTGGACGAGCACGTCTTCCTCGTAGAGTCCTTCGACCTTATCCAGGAGTTTGGCCTGCAGTTCCAGGGCCGGCTGTGCGGTGAGTCCGGGGAGTGCTGAGTGCGGCTGGAATTCTCAGTCCAGCTGCTGGGGGGCCTGCTCCCATCACAGGACATCCCATTCTATCGGGGTGGCCCGCGCATGCCGGTAGAGTCGAGTTGCTCAGGCCAACCGCGGGCTGTGTCAGATTTCATCTCTGGCCACTTTTGCTTGGGACTCTGTTCACGAGGAGCAACGTTTAACTTACCCTGCCCACCAGGATGAGCGTTTGTGGTTTACCGCAGGTGTAATGCCAAATCCAACACCAAACCCCCGGACACAAAGAAGCACCGCCCCTCAAAGCAGAGAGCAATCTCCCGCTCCAGAGAGTCCTGCCCCGCTGCTCACGTGGGCATGGCTCCTCCCTCTCTCATTGTAGCTCCTCCCACAAGTGCCGGAGATCTGTTCTAGTCTCCTCTTTTTTTTTTTTTTTTTTTTTTGAGACAGAGTCTCACTTTGTTGCCCAGGCTAGAGTGAGTGCCATGGCGTCAGCCTAGCTCACAGCAACCTCAAACTCCTGGGCTCAAGCGATCCTCCTGCCTCAGCCTCCCGAGTAGCTGGGACTACAGGCATGCGCCACCATGCCCGCTAATTTTTTCTATATATGTATTAGTTGGCCAATTAATTTTTTTCTATTTATAGTAGAGATGGGGTCTCGCTCTTGCTCAGGCTGGTTTCGAACTCCTGACCTCAAGCAATCCGCCTGCCTGGGCCTCCCAGAGTGCTAGGATTACAGGCGTGAGCCACCGTGCCCGGCCTAGTCTTCTCTTGAGCTATTCTGCCTACCTTGATTTAGCACCTCTCCACCTCCCTGCCCGACCTCTACCCCTGTACAGTCCTGTCCTGCTGACACGCTAGTCCGGGTGCCCCTCTTCTGAGCCCAGTCACAGGGCTGCTCAAGCCCTATTGGTTCCCTAAGCCTCCCACCTGGTCCTGTCTCAAATGCATCACATCCCTCCTGAGGCCATACTTGAGGGTGGTGCCTGCCTCTGACCGCCAGATTTCTCTTGTTGGACGCTTCTGCCTGTCTGTCCCCTGCTGATTCTAGTCCTGTGTGTCCTCAGGGAAGGACCTGTGTGCTGAGGGGGAACATGGCTGCCAGCACCAATGTGTCAACGCCCCAGGCACGTTCCACTGCGCCTGCGACCCTGGCTACAAGCTAGCACCAGATAACAAGAGCTGTTTGGGTGAGAGTTACTCCTGCCCTGCCATCTCACTGCTCCTGAACCTTCTGTGGCTCCCCATTGCCCCAGCATCAGACTAACGAGTCTGGAAGAGCCTTCGGCAGTAAAAGCCCACTTCCTTCACTTTACAGGCCCAACCAAAAGAGATATTGCTAGGGGTCACACAGCCCTTGGTGGGACCCCGCAGTTAAGTTTGCTTGTTTCTACCTCCTTTTCTGCCCATTTTCAGGCCAGTCTCGTGCTTGGCTCTAATCCACCTCCTAAACTTGTTTCTGTCTTCTCACAGCCACATCCTTACAGTTTTTCTTCTTAGACACTGTTGGGGGGGGGGTCTTCAGTTAGGTGGGTCTCCCCCCACATGCCGCCCATTCCTGCCTCTGCACCTCAGCTCTGTGTGCGCTGCCCACCTGGGCTCACCTGCCTCACCCCTCAGCCTCCACAAGTATTTCAAAACGTGGTTCTTCATTTTTGTCTTCTGAAGAGCAATGCCATGCAATACCTTGCTTCCATGATACAATTGGGTTTTTCTTTTTGGTGTGTATGTGTGTCTACTCTGTGCTCATAACTGCAGCCACCATTTATTGGGTGCTGAGTTAGTATCAGACGTTGTGCTGGCTGCATTTCATACAGTACCTCTCAGCCTCACTGCAAGCTAGAAAAAGAGATCATGTGATCCCAGTCCAGATGTCAGCTGGGTCTTCTTTCCAGAAACTTCAAAAGGTTGGCTTGAACCTCGATTTGATGACCATCAACATTCAAATGCCTCTCCAAGTTCTCTGGGAATTCCCAAGGGCTTACATTCGGATGATCACCTCTTGCCGTGAGCTTCTGCTGCATTCGTTTGATTTTATGGATCTTCTCTCAATTTCTCACCCCAACACATTGCCATTCTTGCTCCATGCATGCAAATCAGCTTCTTCTTTGGTTTATACACTTGTGCACACAGGAGTCTGTGTGTATGTTAGTGTGCATGTTTGTTTTACTAAAGATAGGAGTGGACAGAGGTGTGAGTTAAATCTATGTAAAGCCAAGCACACACACACACACACACACATACATACAAAAGAAAAACCCATCATTTGTAATTGAATATTAGACATCCTCATTCCTAGAAGCCCTCAGTCAGCCCACTACAGGGGTTTTTTCACCAGCAGCCTCAACCCACAGAGTTACTCATCTTCACTCTGTCTCCCCTGTTCTCTTTTTTCCTCTCTCCATCCCCATCTCTTTTCCAGGAAAACCCAAATTCTCACCTTTTTTTAGACAGGGCAATTCTCTTCTCT